AAAAAAAAAGGAATAGTAGAGGAAATCTGCATAATCAACCCTAAATTTATGAAAATACTTCGTAGCAAACCAACAAACATGGCACTCTACACAAATCAAACACAATTTCGTACAAGCAATCGCATCAAATACACTAGTAATAAATTCCAAACAAAAGAAACAAACTATATACAATTATTGCTTGCATTTCTAATGATATTTCAACTAAATATCTTGTAATCTTGAGACTTCAACAGTCGCTTGGATTAAACCTCTTCAAGATGCTTGGGATTATAGCTATCAAGGATCGACCAAATCCTGCACAGCATAGAGAAATATGTGAAAATTTATGACAATCTGTCAGCAAAAATTTAAAAATAATTCAATCCCTCTCAAAAATTGTCACATATAGTAGAAATTATCGACAAGTTACAACAGCATAGGAAGTTGAAATAGTTGAAATCAGTAATCACGATGACAACCACCAGGCCAAAACAAAAAACGAAACTGAAAAACAGTGACACTTTCACAATCAGTACATCGAACAAGATAGACCGCCTTATTTGCCTTGTGTCAGGGAAAATAACACAAATACCATAGACAATAATTTTAATGATATGATATATTTGAAAAAGAAAAGTTTACTTAATATAATTATGCTTAGATATAGAGCATACAAAATCATCTTATTGGAAACAAAAGTTTAACATTAGTTTAGGCTGTGAAAATTTACAAATTACAGAATTTACGTCCCATTGTTAGATAAGTACACATTACCAGGTCAATAATGCATCACAGCACTACTCCTTCTGGAAGAAAGAGAGTACAAAATCTGTATGTACAGAGAAGAGTTGCGTGTCCCCGAAGAGCTGTTATACAGTAAAGGACAATGTAGCATTAGCATGTCAACACAATTCTATTATGAAATGAACTGAGATAAAAAGGCAAAACTGGGATAAAAAGCTAAGCAGCAAACCTTCATAAAAGGTCGATCTCGACTAGGGAAAGACTCAATGAAACTTTCCTTCAACAGCAATGATACCTGATGATCAACAAAATAATTTTCATACTAATGTTGTGACCAAGGGTGATAAGTAATGGGATAGTTATGAATTCCACAAATCACAATTATGCGGCCATATTCAAGTACAATTTTGGATGGATTCTCACTTACAGTGACCAATGTTTCAAGAGATTTAAACAAACATTAGAATAGAAGTGTGTAAATTATGACAAATATGCAGTTGAAACAAAATTCAAGGAGCAGAACCTTTTTCTGCAGGTATGAGTAACCAAAAGAGAAATGAAGGTTAAACTAGTATTGCAGACAGAATTTCAAATTTACTATATTCTAGAAATATAACACACACCTTGTCATCATTTGATTGAACATTTGTTATCGAATGAGACCGAAGGTTAAAACAAAGTGAATCCAAGTAAGACCTTAACACTCCAATAAAACCTTTGGCAGCATTAACCTACACATATTAGTCAGAAACCATATTAGCAATAGGATATACACCAAAAGGAAGTTGCAAGCCACACCAATGATACAATGTTTACTTTGGCTCATGCTCAAACAAGTTGAAATGCTTCACATTTGACAATTTCCTTCTTGCTTGTTTTGTAAGTAATACTTTCAAAATTTGAAAGAGCGAAGCATGAGCACAGAAATCTTTAGTAATAAGGTAAAAATATTTTCAAAATGGGAGGAATAGTATTCCTTAAAAGGAAAAACAAGAGCAACAAGATTGCACAAGTGACAAGAAAATGAGAGCCACTTTGTCGGTGAGTAGGTAAAAAGAATTCCATTAAAAGCATCCATGGACTTGTGCACGCAAATAGGTCAATTTAACCATGGAAAACAGAAAGGGTAGCAAAAGAAGCCGATGGAAGAGTCATCCTTAACAGCCTAATAGCCATAAAAAGGAGTGCAGATATTCCAAGCAAAATGCACTGTATTAGACATCTCCTTCACACCTTACGTTTGATATATTTCTAAATCTGCAGAATTTAAATGCAACATCTTCCTACTCTTCTATCCCTTGGAAAAATAAAAGAGAGGTATTATCTACTTTCAATTTATTCGTGTTTAGCAGTTCATAATCAGTTTAAAGGTATTGACAAATTTTTATCCTATAATAGAATTTACACCAGTACAAGCATCATATTTGCTTGATTGTTATTATTTTAAGCTGTTATCTTGAACCTTACAAAACAGTCGGTCTGATAGAGAGAGAACGAAGCTTAATCTCTAGTAAAAACTAATCCGAAGAACAAAAAGCAAATGACAGGTGAGTATAACCACATGCCTGCTCATCAGTACATTCATAAACTGGTCTTTTCTTCCCCGAGTAACTTTCTCCCACCAATTTTGTATGATAAGGACTGAGGCATGAATATAGTTCTTGATGCCGAGGTAACTGTGGTAACGTCGGGGATTTCACCTGTCTCAATACAACAAAAAGGATCAGGTAAACTATATTGAAGTGAAAATGCCTGTACAGAATTTAACAATCTTTAGAAAATATGGCATCTGTGAGCATTTAGACGAGTTAGAAGTTGCAGCAGAATGCACTCCTAGGCCATTAATAAATGACATAACAAAGTGCTTTTAGTTGTTCCAACGGGGCCCCTATGTTCAAAATAAATAATCTTAAACAATAATAAACTCAAATTGATAGTATCAAAATATTCTTCTTGGTTCAAGATACAGTGAAAGTATTTCAATTACGAAGGTTCACAACCTTAACAATGTTGTCTAGATACGAGTCCCAGAAGACAAAAACAAGAAGATATATCGAAAGGCTATTCCTCTGCAATATACTTAAATATCTTGTAAGAACTGCCAAATTCTTGTATACAGAACCAATCAAGAAAAATCTGTCTTATCAGACACATAAACCATACTCCTTACATGCCTCTTCTCACCTCTTTCTAGTTCTGATACCTTCAATGGAAACTACTAATTATGTGCAATACAGAACTATAATGGAAACTGTAATCTGGCTCTCCTAAGCTATTTATGCATCCTCCATTTTTTCCATTGATGTTTACTATTTTCTTATGGCAATACTTTTTTTACTACAACAAGATGCAATAGGACACATACTTTGTGAAATCTACAGATGCTTTCTACCAATATATAGCAACTCATATTTAATTCAAAAGTAAACACGTCTTGTATTACAAATACAGTTTTATTGATTGGAGCAATTAATCTATATTAGTAATTTGGAGAATACACACACCTGATTCTTGTTTGCATCTACTAGAATGACATTTATTAACTTCGACTGTACTTCGGTTTTCTCGTTCTTCACACCTACCTGGCTCAAAATACACACAAATATAAGGAACCAATTAATGGGCTGTTTGACAAAGCTTTCGACAAGAGCTTTAGCAGATAATGATAAAAATTGATAACATATGTTGTTGAAAAGTTTATAAGAACTGCAGGTTGATTAGTGTGTTTTGCACACGGATTTAATACCAATAAAGCTTCATTTGTATGTTTAATCTGTTGATTATAGAACGAATTTAATGTGTTTGCTAGTGTTTTGGTTGAAGGAATGTTAAAATAAAGAAAAAATGATTTTTG